GGTGCCGGTCAAGTCGGTGGTCAACCGCGTGGGCCACCAGCTGAAGAAAGCCCTTTCCGAGAAGGGCATGGCACTGCTGGTCAACCATGGCATATCAGACGAGAAGGTAAGACTACTAGAAATATAATTAAAATAATAATGATAATTAGAAGTCGAATTATTTGTGAAATCATTTGTTGAGCAATAGTTTAGCCGCAATTATTGACTGGTTACAAATTGGATTAAGGTTAAAGTTAATTAGGATTTTATGAACAAATTTTGTAACCATTCAAGTTTCACAGGAAACCGGAAATACATTTTTTCATACAGCTAAATTAAATTTAAATTAATTTAAATTAAAGTACAGTTTTTACAACAACACCTGGTAGTAACTATACTTTTTTTTATTGAGTAAAATAAATCCTTACGTCATGACTGAGCCAAATCAAAAATCTGAGTATGAAGATTTATATACTTTTCATATCAGCATGATAGGAGTGGAAATTAATAGCTTCTATTCCAGTGGTAGCCGTATCTCTGGAGATTAAAGAATACTAGAATTTCAAGGTTAATGTAGTCGTATTTCTGAAAATTGGGAAAGAAAATAGGGAGCGATATGAAGTAATCTATAATTCCCCCTTCCCTTCCGAACAGCTCAAGACTGCCTGGGATCACCTGGACGACTTCGTGGACCTGCCGCCCGACGTCAGGCAGCACTACATCCGTGCGGATGGGGACAAGCACGGCTACGTGAGTCGCGGCCAGCAGCAGCAGCGCTTCGATGGCAAGGCGCCGGAGCTGCGCCACGCCTTCAACATCAGCACACTGAACGCCCAGAATCTGCCCGAGGAGCCGCTGCCGGGATTCGCGGACCACATCAGCACCCTGGCCACGGACTTCAAGGCGCTGGCCAGCTTCATCCTGCAGGCGCTGGCCGTCTCGCTGGACATTCCGCACACCTTCTTCCTCGAAAAGCACTCGCACATGCTGTCCGGTGACCACGACAACATGAGCTCCCTGCGCATGCTCTACTATCCGCCCATCGTGGACGACGAGCCCGGCCAGAACGACGTGATCAAGGGGCGCTGCCAGTACAGCTACCAGCGCTGTCTGTCCAACCAGCCGGACTTCCGGCCGGAGCACAATCCCCGCGATGAGGACGACCTCAACGAGGTGGACGGGCCCAATGGCAAGTTGTTCGAGCACAAGCTGGGCAACGGAGCGGTCATCCAGTGTCCGCCCCACGTCGACTACGGCACCTTCACCCTGCTCTCCCAGGACTCCGAGGGCGGGCTGGAGGTGAAGCTGCCCGGCAGCGAAAAGTGGAACCGCGTGGGTCACCTGCCCGGCTCCATTCTCGTTAATTGCGGCGAGATTTTAAACATTTGGACACAGGCGCGATATCCCGCTTTGGTAAGTATCTTATAAATTATGGGGAATTTCCTAGACCAGTTTAAACTAATGGACATTAATGGATAAAAAATAATTACAATTTACTAAAGTTTAAGATTTTTGTACGAAGACATTAAGTGCTTATTTTAAAAGATTAGGATTACCATTTTAAAAAGCATGCCAATAGTTACGTATATTGTTTAAAAGAAGCTGTCTTTATAAAGTCCCAAACAAAAGCCAAAACTATTTATTTGAACACCCTCAAATTTGCGTTGTACATAATATTTATTTAACTTCGTGTTTGCTGACTTTAAAGTAAAGTTATTTTTTTATAGGGTTAAATCTTAATCTATTGACTAAATACAACTGATATTGGTTTCAAAACTGGTCTAATCCCTTTAAGCTTTGTCACTAAACATGAAATCCCGTTCTAATCCACTTTATTACTCCACCAGCAACATCGTGTGATTATACCTGAGCAGGAAACGATTCGGGCTCGTGGCCGCCATTCGATAGCCTTCTTCTGCCATCCGGATAACATAACCATGATATCGCCCACCGATCTGCCCAATCCAGATGCCGCCCAGGATAAGGCGTGTCTCAAGCAGCGCAAGAAGTCCTTCAAGGCGGCGAAAGAAAGGTGAGTTAGCCTAAATCTCAATTTTAATGGCATTTCCTGTACTAACCCGGTTTCTTTTCTTTGTTTCTTTTTTTGGCTTATCGCCGACGATTGGTGGCCGTAAATTTCACAGAGTCTACAATGCATATCAGTTAATACAGAAGAAGTTTAGAGATACGTATAGCAATAACAATCACTCATAACGACCGTAGCCCGTCGAGCCATCCATCGCATCTCTACCTGAACTGGAATGAAGTTCGTCGGAACGTGGAAACGGATGGGGAAAATGAAAGGCGGCAACTCATATGATGTTTTGAACCTTTTTATTATTACCTTTACTTTTATTCCATACGATTGTAATTGCTTCATTTCATTAATTTATATGTATCGAGATACTATATACAATACATGCATACACCGTAAACATATCCCTTTGTATAATAAATATATATGTATAATTTAATATAGTTTCCACTGAAAAACGCACATGTTAACATTTACTTAAGTCGAGGGGTTTCGCCTAATGTTTTCCTTTGCTCGTGAAACTTGGAAGGTATCTGAGTACAATTCCGAAATTGACCGACAATCGACCACAAGATCCGTGCTAGCTGGTTTTTTGTTTTGTAAATATTTTTCACAAGTTAATTAACATTTTCCTCTTGCTGTCACTTTTATTTGTGTTTTATATTTAATGCCATGTGGCCGAGTTACGTATGAATATATGAATTTCGCATTAATTTGTCATTACCTTCATGTGGTCTGGTTTTAAAATTCTCTTTTATTGATTTTTTGCCTTTTAATGCATTGACTTCAACTATTCACATGCATAATACATACAATATTTAACAAATATTTGACTACCATTATTATTAGACACTCAGTTTGCATTTTGGTTACAAAATAAGCTTCAGCTCAGCGTTTCTGTTGGACATTTAATTTGTTTTGGCTTCGAGTGTTTTGAGTGCATCTGAATCAGTAATTTAATTTGAACATTGAGCCCCATTCAGCTATTTATCGGTTTATAATGGTTGTATCTTAGGTACCATGTAATTCTACTCGCATCGTAGAAAACGAAATTAAATGGATCAGTCATATGAGATCATAATACAGTCGCTGGCAGAAAAAGTTGCACAAGTCATTGTCATTCATGGGATTTGGGGATTTACACGGAGTGTGTGTGTGAAATGTGCGTAAATTGTAAACTTATCTGGGATTGCATCATCGAATGACTCGTCAGCATACTTTTCCCAACGACTGTAATCGTCGTGAGCTTTACCTAATTGCCATAATTTAATTATTTACTTTTTGTCATTTACGCTAACTTTTTAGTTTGTTTTTGCTCGAAAGTCACATGCTCCCATGAGTTGACATGCCAATTTGCGGTTAAACTAAATCGTATTTTTGTTAATTGTGTCTGTTTTTGTTATTGCCGCTGTGATCCAGGTGGTTTGCGGACACGTGCCACACTTTTCCGGAAAAATACCCTAAAATGATTGGGTATAGGGGTTGGTAAAAGCGTGAACTTAAGATTTTAAGAACAAATTTTAAATGAATATCTGTAGGTACACAATCGTATTTTCAAAAAAAGAAGCTTACGTATTTTAATAATATTCTATAAGTTAATCATAGGCAATTTTCATTAATTTTTGGTTTTAAAATCTGATTTTTTTAAGTCAACCCAACTGTACTTTATTCGATATATTTCCTGATTAAACTGATGCCCCTTCTACTAAAGTGCAATGCACCTGGAAACACTTGTGGCAACAAAAAAAATACTTATGTAACCGGAAATAAATATCTTAAAGTTACTTTAGTCAGAGCAAAAGGGTTTAAACTTAAAGAGCATTCGCATTTTGTACTTCAGCTTCTTATCGTTCGACGTTAATTTAGTTAACAATATTTGGCTACATTTCAAATGTTATCAACAACGCTGCTGACTGCCAACTTTTTTCGTGGGCGTTCCGCAGTTTAAACAAAGCGCCGAGAGTTAAATAAAGCAAATATTGACACGCCCATGGGCGGGGCGGGCGGTCGAGACAAGGAGGGGTATAGTGGGGGTAGTCACGCCGACAGAGAGGGCAGATGCTCATTTGTCGACGGCGGTGAGCTCTTAAGCCGGCGCTTTAAATAATGACTGTGAATCGTAAGAAAAAGTCGGCGTTTTATGCATGTCGTATATATTTTCTGCAACGGTTTGATATTTTAGGCAAACAATTCTTAGCCAGCTTTCCACTGAACCACCTTTGATTTATGGGCGCTGCTAGGGGGCGTGGCAGTTTCTGATAATATCTCCCTTATCTCCTACTCAACTAATTTCGAGACGAGACGAAAGCGAAAGTCAACTAAACTGGCTTGAAGTCTGGAGATTTAGTTTATTGTGCTTCGTTAAGATTGTCCAGGCAAGAGAAAAGCGCTTTAGGAATTAGTCACACTTGCTCAAAAGATTACAAAACAGTTCTATGAATGTCAGTTGCATCTATTCGCAGAGGGAGAGAGGTACACAGCTACAGGTATAGTTCGTATATAATATATAGCTCTAGCGCTAACTCGACTACAACAACAGTGTGGGGACTCAAAGTCGGGAAACATCAAAGTTGGGGCTAAAAGACCCAATGGATATGTTAGTCGTGCTTTAGCTTCTACACTAACTTTTAATACGAATGAATCGCTTTGTTTGGTTATGTATTATGACATATATATAATTTGATTTCGGTTTAATGAACTAGATTATTTTAATGTACTGAACAAATCGAACGACCTTTGTCATTACTTTTTAAAGAATCGAGAATATGAATTCTACGAAAAATGAGAACACGTTGCTACAAATTAACATTAGTTGTACTATCAGTAGATTTAAGACCTGGTTGAGTGCTTTGAGTATTTACAAAATGCGTTCATCTTTTTCTTAAGCTTAAAACTCTAATAAAATGTATAGAAATCCTAAATGTGAACATAAAAATCCAAAGATATGAAACAATTTTGGTAAAGAAAGTATTTCAAACAAAATAACTTTTCAACCAGACCTTTTATCTACAGTGTAACTGTAGCTTTTATTTACTTTTTGCTTTAGAGTATTATTTCAATCCATGCATATCTCATGTTTTTTATCTTTATTTTTTTTGGGTTAACATCTAGCTTTTTATATACGTATATCAAACATTCATATATCTATTTGCATTCGCATTTATAAACATCTCTTTATGAAATTCCTGACTCCGTGACACGTAAATATGTATGTCGAAATATTTATATTTCTATTTATATTTCAATTCATTTTGCACGTCAATTTGCTGTTCTCGAAGGCTTTCTTTAATCTGTGGGATTGTCGTATTGTTGCTGTTGCTTTAGCTATTATTTGTGGTTAAATTCTTTTTTGCCCTCTTAGCCGTTATTTTGAGGAATGTTTTTGTCGAGTAATTTATTTTTGTAAGCTGGCAATCTGGTTTCTGCTTTCTGGAGAACACTTGGTGTGCACTGCGCACTCATGAACAGACGTTTGTGAAGCACTGGAGATGAAATCAAGTATACGCCGTGGGTTTCTTAGTTGGTGTAGAGCGGATGAAGCTGCTGCATCTGGGCGTCCGTGGTGGGCGTGACATTGACGGTATACTGGCGGGCCCGCATCACGCTCATGTGAATCTCCGACGAGGCCGTCGAGTTGACGCAGTTGGCGGCCAGCTCAGCGGATCCGGATCCGGCCCGTGCTCCATTGGTTCCCCGGCGACTGGGACCGCCGAACTCCAGATCCCGGTCGTCGTCCCGCCCCCTGCCGCGTCGGCAGAAGTAGAAGGCGTAGGGAAACAGGCTCTGCGGGGAGAAAACAAGGCCCAACTATTAGTGGGTGGGCATAACATGGCACTGCTCTGGATAGTTAGAGTACGCTATGTAAGTTAATAGAGTTAGCTCGCTACTGTACAGCACTGAAAGGTTAAGCATACGCCGCGTGGGACGGGACAATCGACAGGGTAGGGGGTGGTTGGTTGGGTGGCGGCACATGTCTGTGACAATTTGGTTTCACACAAAAAACAAAGGCTAAAGGAAGCCAGGGGCCAGGGATCCAGGGAAAAAAATACAAAAAAGAGACACACACAAAAAATGCTAAACGAAATGAAAGGCCGCGCATTCGTATAAAAAAAGGGACGAACAAGGACCCGTCCGTGTGCCTCTTTGTGTGTGTGTATTTGTGTTGCTGGTGTGTCAAAGTGTGCAGCATAAAAGGGAGAATTTTTAGAGAAAGAATAACATTTCATCATCAGCATTTACGCTTGTGTGGAGAAGGTGTGGGTGTGAGTTACCGTGAGTGTGAGAGTGAGGACATACATATAGAGAAGAGGTTCAGTTTTAATTTAAATATTACGTTTTATGCTTTCTGTTTTGGCGCGCTTAGCTTTTGTTGGGCCATAGGCAACGAATCAGCACAGTAAGCGCCAGCTGTGCGTGGAAAGAGAGATGGTAGATGCTAGTAGATGATACTATATATACGTGGTAAATGGTAAGCAGAATGTTCAAGCGATTAGAAGGCCCAAGCATTGCACCCCATTCACTGCGGGCCGGGCCCGGAAAACCCGTCGAGAATGAAACGGATAGAGAGAGACAGAGAGCAGGCGCAGGCAGAGCAGTAGAGCAAAGAACGTGCAGAGTTTTCACTTCTTCAGGCAGTGGAAAAGCTATTTTTCTTGCTTAGCAACCAGTAGATGAAGCATTTCAATCAGCTAATATGAACGCTACGCTTTCTACACTCTCCGCTGAACACAGAGGTGCACAGAGAAAAAACAGGACATCACATACTAGAAATTTCAAAAAAATATTGACAGTAATTCACAGTTCTTAATTATTCAAGAAAAAGTATTTTAGGTAAGTAATGATTTTTCAAGAAATATTTTAATGTTTTTTCATAAAAATAGTTGTGAAATTAATTTGATACTTATTAGTTCTTTAAAATTAATATATTTTTACAATTGACTATGTTTTTTCCCTGTACCTCCGTGATGCCAATAGCTACCAAAATAATTGCTAAACGTGAGCCTCTTCGGTTGGACGCTGCTGTTGCCCCGGCCGTGTTGCCAGTTGATATTGCTGTCGATATGGTTGCCGCTGCCGCCTCTGTGCATTGGGTGGATTGGGTGGCGGTGGCCCTGTCCTTGGCGATTGCAGCGGTTACGGAAGCCCTGTACTAAGTCTAAAGGTGGTGCAGAGAATTCAGTTTTGGATGCCCGAACAAAGCGAAATTGAATAGAATAAAAGTCCCATCAAGATGTCGAAGTCGAAAATAAATGCAAATTACTCGATGGCCAGCCCGCAACTCACCTTGAGGGTCTTCTTGAAGGCGGCCCTGAAGTCGCGGTTGAAGTATGCATAAATAATGGGGTTCAGGGCCGAGTTGAAGTAGCCGATCCAAAACAGGATGCCAACGAGGAGGCGCGGAGTGATGCAGCTATCGCAAAGCGAGGATACGATATACCTGTGAATCAATTAGGGAAGAGGGATGAGTTATGAAGGGTTAGATTACCCTTACAGTTTAAAGTAATATACTTGTAAGTTTAATAAAGAAATCTTTACGTTAAAATGTTCGCTTTCTTTAAATATGTTTTTAAATGGCAATTAAGTACATACATAATAGACATCTGCATGACTGGAATCAAACAGGCTTTGAAATGATTCCATTCGAATAGAATAGAGTTGAGTAAATGCTCAGCACACTATGACTAGAATGGATTGCATCTTGGTCCGTATAGAGTATGACAGAAAAGGCCTAGAGTTAAACGAGTGATAACGAAAAACAGAATGTCATATTTGAATAGGCTGAAATCATTCGAGTTATTCGAACCCATTCGATTTTCTTATATGACGTCATAAGGGCAAAATAGAAAATTAAATTTGTTTTGATATACATATATGTATGTCTATAAATAAGTATTTTTGTGATTTCTTATTTTCGAAATTACCAAGCTCCCCTTAGTTTAAACTCAAAACACATGCAAAAATCCACGAGAATTAAAAAAAAATATGGAAAAACAATTAGTTTTATGAACATATCCCAGAACCAAAAAATTTGCCTCTATCGCCACAGATAAAGAAAGGAATGGTCTTCCTTGGACCGCGACTTCTTAGTATTGTCATCCTGGAGTTTGTTAGATAAATTCTTAAGAAGTTGCGGTCCAAGGAAGACCATTCCATTCTGCCTCTTCACTACACTATTTTATATTTCTCCTCCTTGGTCCGCGAATTCTTAGGATTTAAATATGAAAATGGCATGGTTGGATTCAGTGGCGAGCTAAAACTAAAGGTAGATTTGTAATTTAAAAAAAAGACAAAAAGTCAAATATTTATGTAAGTATTTCAAAACAAATTTAATTTTCCATTTTGCCCTTATGACGTCATGTAAGAACTCGAATGGATTCGAATAAATTCGTCTGAGTTGTTCGTGTACTCATTTACTCGATTCGTTTTCCATCACCATTTCTGGTTCGACTGAGTTTTACGTCAGTACACTTATTTATTCAAGCCAGTTTTCCTACACATTCCAACTCATTCAACTCATTTTGAACATTGTCAATTCGAATATGTATTTTTTGTTATTCATGCAGATGTCTATTACATAATTATTTTATTTAAATTTGGAAAAAATGTTAAATATTATTAAAAAAATCAAAACTTTAAAAAGATTTCTTGAAATATACACCACACGTGTAAATTAATTTAAAAAGACAATTGGTAGATACGCAGATGGCAACTGCATGTTTAAAAATTATTTCAAATAAGTCCGAGTTAATTAAAAACCCCCCAACACCACAGCTTTTGTGTATTAACGATATTTACGCCTAATTGGGGCCATCAAGTATACGCACCAGAGGAAGAACGGCAGCCAGCAGATGAGGAAGGCGCTCATGATGATGCCCAAAGTGCGGGCGGCCTTCCGCTCTCGCCGCATCGTCGAGATGGTCGACTGCTCCACCTGGATGCTCGGTCGCGGCTTGGGAATTTGGCTAATCTGCAGATGCTTCTCGAGCAGCAGGGCGGCCACCTTGGATCTGGCGGGCACACAAGTAATTAGCGTTAATTTGACAACGTCGAAATGAAGGGGCCACTCGAATCGTGGCTTACCTGTACACCAGGCGCTCCTGTCGGTCGGCCTCCTGGTAAATGCGGTAGTACATCGACAGCATCACGATGCCTGGGATCCAGAAGCTCATCGACGAGCTGACTATGGCGTACGCCTTGTTCACTTTGAACTCGCATATCTGAAACGGAACGGAAATCGCCGATTTGACGGGCAACTCAATTAGCGACTATCAATAAATCAAAATGGACACTGAACAATGCGACTGAGTGGCGAAATGCCAGCGGCGAACCCTAATGGAGCGTAATGCTCGGCAATTGCCAACGGCCAACATTGCGTATGGGCAATGTGAACGGCAATAGCAATGGCAATGCGATTACTGCAATGCCAAGTGCGACAATAAAAACTCAATTACGCTGTGCATTACGGCGATGGCATGACAAAAGGCCACCAGAAGACATCTAATCAGATTTACGGCCAGGACGTTCTGCCTCGTGCGCTGACAGTTATTAGCATAAATAAGTTAAACTAATTAAAGCCCTCCCACGCGGTTGCTAATGTATGCAAAGGATCTCCCAGGCAGGTGGAATGGAAAGCCCAAAAATTATGCACAGTCTGCTTGTCGAAGTCAGAGCCTCGCAGCCTCAATACGCGCAGGAAACCGGAATGGAATTACCTACATTTATTTCTACATCAGCGTTTTATTGCGCAATGATAACCACCTCAACAGCAGCTGCTGACGGGATGGAAATATATATATACGTATATATATATATATATATAGAGCCGAGGAGCTGCCAAGTATTTGCTGGGGAAACCAATAAAATGGAGTAATAAATATGCTACCTGTCGGCTGGCAGCCTGAAAGGCGTAAAACTGCTTCAGCCACACAAACATAAATCAATTTCCGTTGAGGAGGAGGCGGGTTGGGTCGTAGAAAAGTCAAAGGCTGCCACACAGACGCCCACGTGGCCGGGGCCATGCAAAATGCATGCAAAGTCGATACGGTCTCAACTAAATTAAAATTTTCTATTAGTTTGATGTGCAAGAAAATTGAATAAATAATGCAGGCACACCGGGGCGACCGCCCAAACAAATCTGTGGGGGCGGCCTTAATGGAGAGCAACGCATAAATGCTATATTTAATTGTCCAATTAAATGCATTAATAGGCCACTCGCAAATGGGCTACTCACGTGCGGATTCGATTTGAGATACTTGTAGTTCTCGGTCGTTGTGTACCATCCCGAGCAGATGGGCAGGAACGAGAGCAGCGCCGGCGAGAGCCACACCATCAGGAGCATGATGAACACGCGCCGCTGGGTCATGATCAACGGATAGTCCAGCGGCTGGACGATGGCGTAGTATCTGCGGGAGAGGAGAAACAGGATATTAGCGTTAGGAGGGTCTAAATTAATGAAGCCTAGTTTTCCAGCTAGTTTTATAAACTATTAAGTTAAGATTTTGACACTCTAATGATTTATATGTAATAAAAACAATAAAAACTGATTGATAGTAAAAGAAAATATTATACACTTCTTTAAAAGTAGCAAATATGATGGGTTTAAAATACAAATTACCGCCATAAATTATACGTATGTTTTACTATGTTTATACGATAGCAATCACGATTTCTTGAAAGCGCGAAATAGAAATAACCCCTGTTTATACGACAGCCGAAAATTCATGCTTTTATACACTCTCAGCTGATAGGGATGCCGGACCGGTAAAAATATCTAATTTTTAATACCACTGATTAGAGATATAGCCTATAAAAGGCCTTCAATTTCTAGCGATCTGGCAACGTCGATCATTTTTTACAGAGTTACCATACTGCATATCACCAAATCACGCTTTTGGGCTGAAATCATAGTCAACTTTCGTGTGTTGCCGAATTCACGAAATGGCGTTTATACAAGCACGAATCGGCCGAAAGCGTGAAATGATAGCGTGAATTCGGCATCGTATAAACACAGTATGTAATGCATTTATTCAGTATCGAATACTCATGCCATTGGTGACCGGAACTTAAATTAATTACCGATTCGCAAGTAAACCCCGACTCACCTGTCCACGGATATGCAGCAGAGGTGCATGATGCTGGCGGTGGAGAAGTAGACGTCGAAGCTGTTCCACACATCGCACATCACGGATCCGAACATCCACTTGCCCGAGATCATGACGGAAGCATTAAATGTCATCGCACAGAGGGCCACCAGCATGTCGGCGACGGCCAGAGAGACCACAAAGTAGTTGGTAATGATGCTGCAAGGGAAAGGGGAGTGAAAGTAAGACTAAGAGCTGGGATAAAACTAAGCAGGAACCAAGGCGGAAGCCGCACAGCCAGCCGCTTCTCCTTCCAGTAGAAGGAAGCCTGAGTGCCGGAGGAATCGAGATTGCCAAGTTCTCAAATTAAATTTGTGCATTAAGCTTTCAAGTCACTCACTGCTCACAGCGCTAATCGTTCCTCCGTCTTCTTTTCAGAGTCGAGTTGAAAACTTTCGAGCGCACATTGCGCATACGCCGCGTGTGACCGCTGTTTAATGCGGCACGGCGCGTTGCTCTGAGTGGATTTCATTGTTTAATGGGTTAATTAATAATTAGCTTAACGCCGCCGCAACTTCCACCAGCGATCATCAACGTTGCGTGGCACCGCAAAACGTTAAGTCAATTAGGTGCACGCGGCGTATACGCAATGTGGAGCGGCAAATGCGTTTATCGGCCGTCAGAATGGATTTTCAAACAATCAAGCGTACATAACCCCAGGCCGGGGCTTCAACCGCAACCGAATGGGCGCTTGAGATACAAGTTTAAAACCGAAATGTCTGTGGGGACTTGACTCGTGCCACAACTTCTCCAAGGAAAGTTTTGCTTTCACACTAAACGGTTTAAAATGCAAGATAAACTTTTGAATGAAGGAACTTTAAGGGTGAACTGCATTCATCATGGATGGTAAATGCTGTAACGTTTGTAAGGTAGGGTATTCTCGGCCTTATCTATTAAACTCGTTAGCAATCGCTCTTCATTTTGTCATATTTCACCAGGACAAACCTAATTACCACCACAAACTGAGCCAGCCACAGACGCCCCGAAAGGTCGACTATGCGAGGGCAGGCTTAAAGCACCGCAAAGTACAAAGGCAAAGGCAAAATACCCGCATCGGGGGCAACACGAAAATGTTATTGAGGCGTTACCCAAAAGCCGCTTACATAGTGGCTGCGTGGGAACGACCCGTTCGTTTGATGGGTGTCAAGTTTGATTACAATTATGAGTCGGCACTTTCGGCAGTCATCCCGGCAAGCTCAAGTTCAAGTTGATAGGGAAAATATGGGGGCGAGTACTTCCGAGCTTGATCTTCTTGGCCTGGCTTTAATTTGTCACCCAATTTTTCGATTTGTGTGACATGAATAATTTAAGTTGAGTGTCTAATCGAAAAAGTCACAGGGCACAACTGTCGGGCGGAATGGCTTATCCTGAATGGAAAAATTCAGGGATTCGGGCTGGTGGCAGATGTAACATGGGGCCTAAGTGGGAATACATGTTGTTTCGTAATTAAGTCTAATTTGATGATTTAAACTGCCTAGCGAGGCGGAAAAGGTGAAAATGGTGCGGAAAACGCACATGACAATGAGCGCAAGCCCAAGCAAAAGCCCAACAATAATGAAAAAGATGCTGAGATAAAAACGGCAACATGGCATAGACGTAGTCAGGGTCAGGTCCCAAATTGCCTGTCCCTGGCAGGCTAAATGAGCCTCATCCTCATCCTCAGTCGCATCCTCATCCTTAGTCGCATCCTTAGACGCAGCCACAAATGTCAGGTGTGCGTCGGTTGGTCTCGGTTCCAAGGCAAAAGGAATACGGCAATGACAGTGGAAGACATTTTCCCGGGGCTGCTTTAATAGTCTGCGCCTTGACATTGAATGTCCCGGGGTTAGGTTACACCATTGCCATTACACCATTGTCGCCTCGCTCCGAGTGTTTTATGTTGGGCTGTTTAAATGCCAGCGGTGCTGGGCTTATGAATTTGCGGCTGAGACACGTACATACTTTCCACCTTCGGCTACCTGGCAACCACCCACATATATATATATGGCCATATCTCATGTGGAGGCGGCTGTGGCGTCGCTCAATTCATAAATTTGACAAATTATATGGCCGCTCATAAAGTAAATGCCAATGGCGCCCCCCTAAGTAGGCAACAATATTTTTATTTTTATGCTCTGCGCTTATTAACATTTCTAATGTAATTACGCACGTAGCCAGCATTTAACTTGGCCAACTGACTGCGGAATCAACCGTCCACGCCCCAAAAACGTTCGGAAGGCGGACAAGATGAGTTCTGTGCGCTTGACACGCAAAAATGATGGAAAATATGATAAATGATGACAAATTAATGGCCGCAAAAACGAGGTAGCTACTCGTAAAGCCGAGCGCGGTCAAATCGCACAAAATCGCTCGGCAGGAAGGTGCAAAAAAAGAATAAATACAAGGCAAAGTCATGTCCTTGGCAGCTAAAACATCCGCGATTCGTGGACAATGTGGCAGGTTACAACTCGGGCAATTGCTCAAAAACAAAGGGAAATTAAAGTAAAGGGGATGAATGGGGTATACAGCGGCTTTAAATGGTGTATTTTGTAAACACCTCTTCAGTTTTTTATTTATAGATCTTTAAATAAAGATTCTACAGATGGTGGATATAGTTTTAAAATAAACTTGCTCTAATTTAAGGAAGATTTCTTCGGTTCGTTCTAAATCGTCTAGTTCACTTTGGAACGGTTTCTGTGACACCGAGATTTGATTTTATGAAGAAATTGCGTTGGAAGAGATTTCTGATGGTCAGTTTAAATGTATATTTTCTGAATAATATTTATGTGACTAACGCAATAATAAATATTTATTGGAACTTGTAACGCGGGGATATATTAGTGGTTCGCTTTGCGAAGTAAATCGTGCTGTTGTACACTGTGTGTGTTGGCAGAGCTACGGCAGAGTCTCGATTTGTAGTCTACGAGCATTTGAAGCCTTCTGAAAGAACTCAATACATGGAAACTGAAACCGTGGCTGGTAAGTAAAAACCACTTGATGCAGGGCGACAAATTAATGGAGCCAATGTCAACCCAGACACAAGAGCAACATGACCAGTCGGTGGATAGGAGAAAAAGGGGGAGGAAGAGGAGGAGCCAGGACTCACCGCAATTTCCGGTGGCGCATGACGGACACAATTACCAGCATGTTGCCCAGGATGGCGGCCAGTATGATGAAACCGATAATGAAACACTTGACGAAGACTAATGCCAGATGGCTGCTGCCGTCGGCATCGTCGGTGGGTCCTTCGCCCGCCTGGATGTCCTGTGCCTGCCCAGCGACGACGTCTTCAAGGGAGACGGCGATGCTGCTCCCGCTGCTCCCACTGCCCACCGCACTGCCCAGTCCCTCGTCGATGAGCCCGTCGGCGATGAATTTCAAATAACGGGCATGCGAGGCGGACTCCTCCAGCACGGGAAGTTGGCCCGCCAGCGGTTCCTTTGTCGCGCCACCGAAGCTCCCGATGCTGTCCTCCAATATTGTCCTGGTTGTGGTGGCCGACATGGCCTGGAGTCGCTGCAGCAGCGTCATGGTAATGACCACAGGCGGTGTGTCGTCGGTGAGTCGGTATGTGTGCTCGCCCCGCTTAGTTGCCAGATCCAAATGCTGCCCTAGTGCCACGGAAAAGGACTCTCAATGGGGACGACATGCTGCCTGACACTTGCTCTTTTTCTTGTTCTCGTTCTCGTTCTGATGGCCACCGCTATTATTGCCTTATTGCCAATCGCTTGCCAAGTCCTGCAATTGAAAAAGAAACTCGATTTATCTGCTGCCTTATTTATGAGCGCCCCTTCAAAAGGGCAACAACAGCTTGTAAGCCAGTTTGCTGATGGCAAAGTAAGTGGTATTTGTATTGGCAGAATGCTTAACTGAAGAGAAATAGTCATGGAAATATTAGGCATTTATGGGGGAATTTAAGCCTGAACTGCAGTCCCTTTTACAAACAGTTTTCTATACAAATAAATGTAAATAAATATTTGTGTTATATTTAGGAAAATGAAATATGGAAATGAGTTCTTTAAATTTAATTTAATTTGGAATAATAAATCTAAAAGCATTGATATAATTTTTCCTAAAAGTTATAAGGAAAAGGTTGATAAACTCTGTGTGATCAAAAGTTTCAAGTTTCCATTCTATATTCCTGTTAAGGTATCCTGGCTACGTGTCTGATGGAATGAAACCGATTAGGATCCATTTAAGAGTCCTTAAGCGTAGAGAGTATATCAAGTTCCCTAAACCTTGTATTCATCTCTTGACTTCTGCTTGAGATTCCGCCGACGCCTTCCCGGATTCGATATCCATTTACATTTGCATCAATTCGGCATTTGTTGTGACAGCCAAATGAACCGCAACGTGCTGGCCATTTGTCTTCCAGCCGCCATCCATCCCCCTGCCCAGATACCAAATCGTGGAACATGCAAATCCCGGCAGCAAAAGAATAAGCAAAATCATAGCCAGAGTTAAGCCCATAAACACCTTGTGGCTTTGATGGCATTGTATGGGCGTAGAAATTTCGTTGGCCGCAGGCTCGTTCAGACAATGAAATTGAAACCCAGCGAGGGAGGTGGCGTTGTAGTGTGCAAAACGTAATCCCACTCAATTGGTTTAATTTACCATAAACAGCTTCAATTTCGGAGCTTCAACGTGGGAGGAAATTTCCGTTTGGGCCCTTCGAAATTTAGCTTCCTTCCTTTTTGCGCGATGGCACCAGCTGCTGCCTTCCCAAAATTCAGAAATTCCGAAATTCCCAAATGCTCATCCCATTCCTGTTAACAGCTGCTCGCTGTCTCTTTTTGGCCCTGAATTCTGGCCATATTTTAGCATCAGCAACGGCGACAGAGGCTTATCATTAGCAAATGTCAATTTTCAAATTATATACATTTATTTTGCAATTTGCTTGCCTGGTAATCGATGCCAGCCCCTCCCCTGTTTTATGAATTGCCCTGGGCCACACTTTCCATTCCACTTTCACTTCTGCATTTCCCCTTGGAGTAGGCAAACATTTGGGAGCCAAACGTGTAATTCCCATGTCGGGCAAACTAAGTAAACTCCGGATAACAAATACGAGTGTCAGCAGAGGAACTGTGTTTATTTGCGTGCGCCATATATGTAGGTTTACGATGGGTCCTTTCAACTGCCGCACCTTCGGGGAAATGAGTTTCATGTGGTTTGTGTGCGCCCGACACTCGCCAACAAAGCGACCGCGACTGAAGTGAACTTTAAATCAATAAAGGACAACAAATTGAAAAGGCTCGTGGCCCGTGGCTCATGGCTCGTCCTCGTAGGTCGCGCTCCACCCGCACTTTTTGAATTTGCCCGACCAAGTGCTTTTGTCAAACGCATTGACAATGCGCCACAACAATACCAAAGTCAGATTCCCGGGTCTCAGCTTTTGTCTGAATCGAGGGAGTCGAGGGACTGGGGATCCATCACAATACATCATTCACAGCCGGTGTCTCTGTATTCTGTATCAACGGTTATTTCTTATTTTTTAATATATGTATATATACATCTTTTTTGGGTAAGCCAGCATCTTTACCTTTTGCGACTCTTGCCTTCATTTGACCTTTCAAAGTTAGCCGAGCATCGCATACACAGTGGATGCAAATACGAGTGTATCCCCCAAAACAGCTATCAATTCAATTGGAGTTTAAATCAATCAATGCAATCAATACGCACATCAAATGAAATCTGTGGGATATTTTTGGCAGAATAATATTTGAGCCAGCGTCCACTGTCTGAAAATTGGCTGGATAGGTCGGTGGGTTGGTTTGGTGGGATGAGTCCTTGCCAGGACATGCCACGCTTCACTCGCATTGTGAATGGATGTGATTTATTTCGCTGTGGCCTGTTGGCCCCTTGGTCCATTGTCCCGGTGCAGTCAGCTCTGGGAGTTGGGAGCAACTTTGGCTTGTTAGTTATTTATTCTTACTTATTCTTTGCTTATTTGAATTCGCCTCTGTTTATTTACAGCTGAGCGACTTGGGCCAAGCCACAAGCGTTGATGTTTGCTCTCGGCCCACACAAAGTCGAAAAAATTAATTTGGAATCTTTCGTTTGTTTGGATACGGATTTGGTTCTGGTTTTCGGGGCTCGGGTTTTCGGTTGCCCAGATTGATGGTCAGCCTTAATTACTTTTCAAAGAGCGTTTTGAACCGCTCTTCTTGGCTCTTAATTAATTTTTAATTTATGCAAGGAACCGGGAAATCTTCGAGGGGCTCCCTATTTTTTTCTCATTCATCCCTTTCGCTAATCGATTTGGACTTAATCCCGAAGATGCCACTTGAGCCACACGCCGCGCGTTCTAATTGAGTGACCCAATCGAGAGCAAGTCATTTATCATTGGTGGATTGCTGGAATTACAGGCCGAAGCGGGCTCATAAATATGTCCCTCGGAAGGCGATTTAATTGAGTGCTAAAAGGCCCCGAGACAAAGGCGGCCCAAGGAAATGAAATCGGGCTGAAACGCTTGTCACCCGGAGAACAAATCGAATCCAAAACGGAAAACGAATCGAACGGCAGCGAATCGAAACTAATTGGACGCTGGAAGTATGCAAAGATAAATCGACAGCGGTCAACCGAGAAAAACTGTGGTTGGGGCCAGGCCACCGAAGGAAAAACAAAGCTAACTTTGTTGCGTTTATGTCGGCCATTTGCTAAATCAAACAACAGAGAAAACGAAAAATAAAAGTGGAAAGAAAAACATACAGCGTATATATGTATTAAGAAGCCAGCAGCAGAAGCCCCCTGGAGGCAATCAGGCTGACAAGGCGGAAGTAAAAGTTCAATTATTCATCTGGCTTTCTCCGCCTGCCCCTGCCCTGTATTGTGGCCCACACAGATACACAAAGACACAGATACATATTCATATGCTGGCCATCATCGGACTTGGCCTTGTTCGCATTTACATTTTAAATTGCAGTATTACGAGCTATATTTGCACTGCTACCCGCCCAAACAACGCGTTGTTCATTTCGGAGCAGCATTCTTTGTGCAGGCACTCGGAAAAATGAATAGAAAATATTCTAAAATAAGATATAGATTAACCTACCAAAATTGAATAAAGGGAATCTCATTGGTACACCAAAAAAAAAAAATGATATGAAACGATTTTGTGGTATCAATTTTGACTTGATATGCTCGAAATGCAAATCCTGCTCTATTTCAAATCTGACACTCCATTAAAGGCATACATTTGGTTTATTTTAGAACACACTTTTTCTCCCCCTGTATTTGGTATATTTGGTTTACATTATTCGCACACACAAACACACACCTTAGCTGAAAATAGATGAGCATTTTAGTTGGCATTTTTCAGGTCTGCATTTTTGAGGCTTGACGGCAATGGCAACGGCAACGAAAACGACAACGACAGCGTGTCCTGCGGCTCCTGTGGCCTTTCATCGTGGGGATTTCGAGTGGAGTGGTCCTGGTCCCGGGCTGAATAATGAACTGCATAATTCGAGCAGCATTTTGGGAATATTTACAAAATAAACAGAGCCATGAGTGGGCGGGGCAATATTTCGTACATATATCGTATAAATTACAATGCAAAATAAACGTTTGAATAGAAAATGTCATTGATAGGCATTTATGGAAAAAGCAAATATGGAATTAATTATTTCATTAATTATTTACAATGGCTTTGGAAAAGCCAACCTCAGAGAAAATTATTAAATTGATTAACTCGCAGCTGGTATGTGTTTTGTATTTGTAAAGTTTAAACCACAAATGAAATGGGGAAAAGTTACGTTTTAACCTGGTCTGGTGGTCTATGTTTTATCTAGACCCTCCGCTGCTAGGCTGCTAATTAAATTGAATTCTCGTCTGGCGGAAAATGGGTCAGACATTAAGAAAGTTAAAAAAAGGGGTAGCCCAAGCCCCGGGCTCGGCACACTCACAATGGCCAGGGAAGCTGGCCCCATAAAAGTGGCGGTTATGCAATTTTTAATTAATTTCGCTGGCTGCCTCTGCTGCTGATGATGCTTTCCTGGGCAGGCAGGCCCACATGTGCAGGGTTTTATCTTGCAACCCACAAATATGCAGTCCCATTGCCGTGGCAGAATGGCAGAGCCCCGGAGCCATCGCTCCGCCATGGCTGTTGAATATTTCAGTGTATTTGCACGTCGGAGCGTCGGGGCACTGGCTGCATGGATCCATGATGCATGTCGTTCCGCTTCCGGCTGTTGTTTATATCATTTATACGGTTACTGCTGGCCAAAGCCAAAAAGTGTGAAAATTGTTTGCCCACATGCCCACATCCTCACACGCCCCGTCATAGTTTGGGTCTCTTTGACCGTTGCCCTGCCACTTGACTTGACAGCTGAGGGGCGCAAACATTTTCACACGCACCGCAGCTTTATTAAAATAAATTTACAACTTGCGGAAATGACTTACAGCATACGCGTACATGCGGACAAAGGAAATTTAATTCGAAGGGCTTCCGAGAAGGGAGAAAAATAACGACTGAAACGTGCTAGAAACGCTTTAATTGATATACAGGGTGCCGTTTCCTTGTGGACGATTCAAATATTTAGCATATTCTGTTGACACATTAGCAAGCATGGCGCCCGAGCAGGGACAGCATAGATGCTACCCATTGAATATATGTTTCAAGGTTAACAGAAGATCCCTCGTTGGGCCCCACAATTTGTAAAATCGTTTTGCAACAGTGAAATCCCTCTTCGGGCGCCACTCCACAGATACAAGAAAAGTACTTATACTCCACATTTTTGCAG